ATACATCAAAATACTGCTAGGTGTCTCGTCACACATCCTTCTTGAATCTGTGTGGCGAGCGGCGTCGACTTGAGTGGTTGGGTTTATTGTTGGTGAACGTATTTCCATTGTTGTGTTTCCGTGAGTTTGCGGTTTTGCGATAGCTGACCTGAGAGAGCAGCATGTCTGTATAAAGTTTTGTTTCAAACTTGGGAAAACCGCTGCAGAAACGCACCAAATGTTGAAGCAAGCTTTTGGTGACAACAGTTTAGGCCAGACACAAACTTACTACTGGTATAAGCGTTTTAAAAATGGCTGAACATTGACTGATGATGACAATCATTCAGGATGGCCGTCAATGGGCAAAACACCAGAAAATGTCGTGAAAGTTAGGGATCTGATTCTGCAAGATCGTAGACTGACCATCCAAGACCTCTGTAACACCTTGGGACTAAGTTATGATACATGTCAACGAATTTTGTCAGAGGAACTGAACATGAGGAGGATTGCGGCAAAGTTTGTGCCACGACTGCTGCAAAATGAACAGAAGCAGCATCGCTTGGAAGTCTGCGGGGAACTTCAACAGCTTCAAGAGGATCCAAAGTTTCTTTCGAAGGTTGTCACTGATGACGAAAGTTAGGTTTATGGCTACGACCCTGAAAGCAGGCAGCATTTGTCACAGTGGAAGAGCCCTTATTCACATCGGCCAAAAAAAAGCTCGACAAGTCAAGAGCAACATTAAGTCCATGTTGATCTGTTTTTTTGATATTGACGAGATTGTTCATAAGGAGTTCGTCCCTCCTGGTCACACAGTCAATAAAGAGTTCTGTCGTGATGTTCTAAGGCGTTTGAGGGAGGACATGAGAAAACGTCCAGAGAAGTGGTGCATGAACGACTGGGTACTCCACCATGACAACGCACGACCACATACGGCTTACCTTGTGCAGGAATTTTTGGCTAAAAACTAGATGGCAATTGTTCCCCACCCACCGTACTCGCCAGACTTAGCTCCATNAGTCAATAAAGAGTTCTGTCGTGATGTTCTAAGGCGTTTGAGGGAGGACATGAGAAAACGTCCAGAGAAGTGGTGCATGAACGACTGGGTACTCCACCATGACAACGCACGACCGCATATGGCTTACCTTGTGCAGGAATTTTTGGCTAAAAACTAGATGGCAGTTGTTCCCCACCCACTGTACTCGCCAGACTTAGCTCCATGTGACTTCTTTGTCTTCCCCAAGATGAAAATCAAGTTGAAGGGGCAAAGATTTGATACAGTTGAGGAAATTCAAGTGGAAACGCAGACGGTACTAAACACCCTAACAAAGAAAGACTTCCAGGATGCATTTGAAAAGTGGCAGAAACCTGGGATCGGTTTATGCGCTCCCAAGGGGACTACTTTGAAGGTGATGGTGCAGAATAAGATCTAGGTAAGATGTAATAATTTTTATTAGTATATTTTGGGAACTTTTGGATTGCACCACGTACAAAACACAGAACACAGGAATGAAAAGAAGACATAGCAACTACACACAAGCCATCTGTGAGAATCACATCTGCATCTACAAAACGCCAAAATAACCAAAATTAAAATATGCAAGTGTATATGGAAAGAACAAAATGTTTGTAATGGAAGACCTTAGAGAGATAATGTGTTTTTGGACTTTGTCCATCGTCCAGATTCTAAATAACTAAGAAGAAACACAATGTTTCGGAAACTGGATCTGTTTCCATCCTCAGGTGAGGGAAGACACCTACTCTGTTGGGTCCCTTAGAAAGAGCTAGCCTCAGTCACTGGATGATCTTAGAATTTGACAAATTTCAACAAAGACATAGATGGTAGCAACGCATCACAATATTTCAAACTGACAGCACAAAATATACCCACTGTAGACTGTGGTCAATGTAAGGAATGAGCAGTGCAGCCAACAATGAATGAGTATACCTGATGATTGTCAAAAGGCTGAATCATGTAGTAGGTAATTAACATATAGCATATTTGTACAGAAGTTGGAAATACAACATAACATGATGCTACAATAGAGTATTTATCAAGGAAATTTCATTTGGAGCCACATATCCTCCAGTGTTGCCAGTAGACAGAGATGAAAATTCATATCACAAGAATTAAGTGCTATGCAGTTATTTACAGATGTATTTCAAAATGGCTTAACATTGTTTATGCAATTGCAGTAACCTACAGGTTTATGTTGGTCATGGTTTCACTGCTGACTGCAGCTACTGCTTTCATGTTGCAGTTGATGCATGACTTGGGTGTGATTCGCCAGGCAAGTCCTGGGGCATTCCACCTACTACCACTCGGTGAACGTTCCTTGCAGAAATTGATCAGAATTGTCGATGATGAGATGTGTAAGATAAATGCACAGAAGCTGCTGCTGCCTCTTCTGACATCTGGAGAGCTGTGGAAATCTACAGGTATGACCAGGAGGTTAACATATGTTGGCTCAGTTCACCAATCTGACGAAATTATGCTCACCAGGCACTTCTCTGCAAGAGAAACCATATCTGTTCACACCTCTGTAATTGCTCTTCAACAGCCTACACACTATGACTTAACATATAAAAATATTTTTCCATATATTATATGTAACAAATATTATTTACTGTTCTGAGTGTCTGTGGAGATGTCAAAAGGAGAGCAAATGTTCATTAGCGAATGAAGTTGAAGGTTCCTTCAATTCCCAGCTTCAGTACTCTCATATAGAGCTAGTACTGTGAGTGTGAATATATCAGTTTTGAGATTTTGATGAATATACATATTGTCACATATCCAGGTAATGCGACAAAATTTTTGGGTTCCGGATTAGATGAAGATGTTTATTGGACAACTACTTGTTTACACTTACAATTACAATCATTCTCAGATAACACCCTTTCATGTGAAGCTACCTGATTAGTCCATTGTCTCTCATGTTTCCTCTTCAACGGTTATACTCTTGCACCGCTATTCTCAGTGGAGTGTCTTTGCTCTTGGGTTTCTCTTATCTGTTGTCAGATCTGAACTGCTTTGTCCTGTGTTCTGTTTGGTGTCTTATATTCTACACTTGCACAGGATAGAAGACACGTCACACCCTGCAGTTTCATGGTTTCTGCTACAACAATTGCTAGCACCTCCACTGTTAGAGTTTCATTTCCGGGGCAACGTGTCTCTGTTGGGCAGTTTCTTAGGTAGTTGTCTTTCCATGTATTCGTTGCCACTGAAGTATGCGTTCCCACTGCAGCCATTGCACAGTGATGGGCAACATATAATTCAGCTTTTAGGTGGCACACCACAATATTGTGAGCCCACCTGATTACACAAAGTGGTTTTTAGAATAATGTGTGTGTGTATGTATGTACATATGGATGTGTGCCTTGCTAGTGTCTGAATGCTTTGAGGATTTTTTAATATTTGGTATATAAGAATTTATGTGTTACAGGTTGGTGCCCAGTAAACATTAACATTCTAGCTCAAAAAGTATGCCACCAGGAAACAAAGTGGTAGTATTCTTCAAATGGTTCTTATGATTTTGATTAAATTTCAGCAATTTATGGAGACTGTCATCCTAAACAAAATTGCAGTGATAGTATAATCAGAAGAGAAATTGTGGCCCAATTTGAAATGTTGATTTTGTTGAATCTGGCTTTACTGGTCACATGGATTTCATTGTTATTCAGTGTTCAGTGACCAGCAATGATCTGCCAAGCAAAAACTGATTTTGTTTCCATGATAATGTAGTCAAGGTCAATTGTATGTGAGAAGGTATGTGCAGTGTACACCATTCCCCCTCCCCCTCAAGTTTCATGGATGAGCAGATGAATGGGTTTGTTAATCCCTGGGTATGACTGCAACATGTTGACTTTGGAACTTGTTCAGTGATGTTGGTAATTACTGAGTGACTTAATGAGGCAGCATGAAGGATTGTTTTGTTGCAGGCCGCTGGGAAGATATAGGAGAAGAGCTGTTCACACTGAAGGACCGCCATGACAGGGAGCTTGTGCTTAGTCCAGTAGGTAAACAGATCGAGGTCGATTATTTTTTTTTTTTACTTTAACTGAATTTGTTTGTTATTGTAAGTTTTGTTTCCAGTATTGAAGCAGCGGTAAAGGAAGAAAGAATATTTTAAAAATGGTAGAAGACCAAAAGGGGGGTAGTTGGCTGAGGCACTATGCTACAAGCCAGAAGGTCGCGGGTTCAAGTCCCGATGAGGTCATTGGATTTTTTCAATTGACCTAATCCTTCCAGCCGCGCTATGGCCCTGGGGTCAATTCAGCCTCAAACAGAATTGAGTACTAGGAATATTCTTGGGGATAAAGGGCGGTTGGCACATAGGGCTGACAACCTTGCTGCCATCTATGAGCCAATTGTCTAGAACATGTAGGAACCTCAACATTTCACAACCCTGTTGGCCTCCACGGCCTGTTAGAGGGATACCCTTATTTTTTTTTTTAAGATGACCAAAAGTTCAAGTTGTTAAACAGAATGTTTAAATGTTAAACAGCTTGGTTGTTAGTCATCACCTCTACCATTGCCATCTCTATGAATTAGGCTGTTTAGTGTCTTCCTTTTACAAACATATTTCTTAAGAGATATCGGGTTTTCGGGCTTTATCCATCATCCTGGTTTTAAGATAACTAAGAAAAACACGGACGTTTTGGAAACTGGATCTGTTTCCGTCCGCAGGTGAGGGAAAGCACGTATTCTGTTGGGTCCCTTAGAAAGAGCTAACCTCAATCACTGGACAACCGATGTCACAAAACGCAAAGGTTATAAACACCTGAGACCAGGCCAAGTCCATATTTCTTAAGATTACACTTTCCAAGTTTTTAAAATAAGTATGATAATATTAAAAACTTTTCCATCATATCCATGAATGTCTCTGGTTTCTTTTTTGTTATGATATTTAAAGAGTATTCTTATGGTGTAGGAATTTTCCATCCTCCTTCTTTGTTCCAACAGTCTGATTCAGCCGTGATCTTGTATTAATGTCAACATCTTTCATATATCTGCACTGTATTTGCAATTTTTCAGTCACTGCTGTCAGAAAATGTATTTCTGTTGTTTCCCTTCTCTGTCAAAATCCATCAATATCAGTCATTGCCATTACACTAGAATTCAACACTTTTTCCTCCTGCAGTTTCCTGCATAAAGCACTGGATGGGATAGGACTGTTTTGATGCAAATTTTATGGCTTGTACGGCCCCTATATATGTGTGCGCACGCGTGTATGATATATGTAGAGGCATTAGTAAACTGCTCTGAAGGTATGTTTCACAAAATAAAAGAAATCTTTGAATTAAGTTTGACATTATTTTCAGAATAACCTACTGACATTTTAGGAAAGAATCTCATATCTTTAATCATTAATCTTCCTCATAAACCCAAAAAAGTGAGACATTTATTAACCAGTCTTTCAAATCTCCAAGAACAGCCAATCGGAACACTTCTCTGTGTATGTTAACCAATCAGAATATTCCTCTGTAAAATCAAAATGTAATGAATCACAATGTAACTGATCCTTTTCAGCGTAAGCCAGCACACAAACAAACCTGTTTTGTAAAAGTATTTTTAACATATGACTGATTAGGGACTCACACCTCTTACAAAATATGCCTGGAGACTTCTAAAAGCACTCAACTAGGCTTCCACCCCCCCCCCCTCAAGCACTGAATGTCAGCTTGATTACAGCCAACATTATATCTTAATTAATAAGAATTAATTATGAATGCAACTATTTGTCCAGATTTTATTTACATTTTTATGTGCAGGTAACAAAATTTCCTAAAAGTCACAAAATATAACCTGTGGGCAGTGAAGCCTGTAATCTGTTCGTCTTTGTATACATACTGTCCTTATGTTGCAGACACATGAAGAAGCAGTAACAGAGCTAATGGCATCAATACCACAGCTGTCCTACCGACAGCTTCCCCTACTCTTGTATCAAGTTACCAGCAAGTTTCGAGATGAGATGCGACCACGATTTGGGCTCCTTCGTGGAAGGGAGTTCATAATGAAGGACCTGTATACATTTGATACTTCTGCAGAAGCAGCCAGTGAGACCTACAAGGCAGTAAGCAAAGCTTATGACAACATATTCAGGAGAATAGGCATTCAGTATTTCAAAGGTGAGGTGAATTATTGAAGTTGGCCGCTTGAGCTTTAGTATCCTTGGACCACTATCCATGAGTGTTAACAGATTGCCAGCAGAAATACAGTTTCATACTCCTATGGCCTGCTTAATGGATGGCAGGAGCACAGGAAACTGATTTTTCCACCATTTAAAATTTGAAACTAACTTTGCCGACAAACTGCAATTGCTCAGTCAGTATAGTTCGCTGGCAGACGAAAACCACGGAGTTGTTGTTGTTGTTTCCCCCCCCAACATAAACTTCAGTATGCTAAGAGCATACTTTATGAGCTGTCATGACTCTCATCACATCAGTTCATACTGATAATGGAATGACAGAGGCAGAGTCTGTGAAACATTGGATACTAATTCCATATTCACATGGGTGTTCACTCAGGAAGACTTTATTGCACACAGTCACCAAGAAAGCATAAAATTATATGTAGAGTTAAGTAACTGATGGAGGTGTATAGTGCCGACATGTTATGAGTCGTCATGAGGCATTTTGGTGGGTAGGACAGGAAGTTCCTGTCCATAAAGGGCAATGTTCACAAGGTACCACTCTCTAGTTATTATGCCCAGTTTGAAACAGATTTAATGCACACATCCTGTTCTAAATCTGACATTTGTTTAAATATAGAAATAAGACAGTATTACAAATAACATTATTCCATGTCACACCTCTTCTGAATAATACATTTCTTAAGCTACTAATGAATAATTCAGCAAGCTGTATTCTACCACAGTTAGCAGAGAAAATCTCTACCAAAGTGAAAGTGGGAGCATCGTTTGCTAAATATTAGACACAACAAACAGCCGATTCTGTTGCATGTTCTACAGTCTGTGGTTGGACAGGGTGCCAAAACATGAGCAGTTTATCTGGTCTTTCCTAACTCATTCAGTTCCCCTTAGATCTAATAGGCAAGGAACTCAAATTCTGCATATATAAGGGCTATTTGGAAAGTAACCCCCAGTGAGCTGTTAACAAAACAAGCAGTGAGGGAAAAACATTTATTATATACAAAAAATATGTACATACTTAAGCTACTTCTTAGCATAGTCACTGCTGAAACTCAGGCACTTGTCATATTGGGGAATAAGTTTTTATATGCCTCTTTCAAAGATATCTGCTGCCAGTGGGCTTAGCCAAGTTTTGATATTTTCCATCAACTCCTCATTACTGCTGAAGCGTTGTGATCCAAACCAATTCTTCAGGTAGGTAAACAGGTGGTAGTCACTTGGAGCAAGATTAGGGCTGTAAGGAGGGTGGTGAGCCAACTCCTAGTTGAAATGGTCCAACAGTGCTCGCATGAGCAGTGGTATGTGGACGCACATTGCCATGAAGGAGCACCATACCAGATGACAGCATTCCATGCCATTTTTTTCTGAATGGCCGTACGCAGTTTTTTTAGTGTTTCGCAATACACTTACGACATTATTGTGATCCCTTGTTGCATGAATTTCACCATCAGCACTCATTTCCTATCCCAGAAATCAGCTGGCATCAAATTTCTATGATGTGATTAGGAAATTCTTGGCCATCTTTATGGTGTCGCTTAAAAGAGCCAAGGCTACGGCTGTTCTCTGTGTTTTATGTGTACCTATGAGCATTATAGAGCCCATCTTGTGCAAAACTTGTGATAGCCTAGCCAAACTGTGATAATCTTGTAGAGAACAGTGCATGTTTTTGGAAATTCGCACGAAAGTTCTGAAATTGTGAGGCACCATCTTTCACAAATTTTTTGGTCAGCAGTTTGAACAAGATCATCAGTTGCTGCTGCTGCTTTTTTTCCTTCATTTTTTGCTTCCTGTTGTGTTGTTATATACAATTCTTTATTGCAGTCCGTCATAACACAACAACATAATGGTCCAGGTTAAAATTACCTTAGCTACATGTTTCAGCTTTTAAAGTCATCATCAGGCTAACACATGATTACTATATTGTAACATGTTTCATTACTGAATACGCCGTTCAGATTGTTAATTGGTTTATTTAACAACCTACAAGTATCAGCTACAATTAATTATAACACTGTTGCGGGGTTTCACAATTTATAACCCTATACGCAATAATCTGTTTACACTCTTTTCAAGAGTCTTCACGTATTAATAACGCGGGAGCTATACAAGTCTCTCTGAATTACACACTCCAAATATAACTGTACTACAGCACACACAATAAATCTTCCACTCGCTGACTTCTTAGTTATCGCACACTCACATAAAATCTTGTAACCACGCGTTCGGGTCTTCTTACCACGACTGCTGCTATATTTCAACTTAAGTCGTAGGCTGCTGCCTTGAGAACTGTTGATCACACACTAACTCTCGCTTGCTGCTCAGCCGGCTTTTATTCCGTTCACTGTTGCCTGTTGCCCGTGTCAACAGCGGTGTTGAGTTGCGGTGCTGCGTCACAGCGGGAAGCTGTGCCAGGTCACAGTGCGGAGGGGGCTACGTGACAGAGCGCTGACTCACCCGCCACGTCACTGCTGGGGAGAGGGGTTGTCCTCCATTGCGCAACATGTCACAATATTCACACACTTTTGAACTGCAGTTGCGATAGTAAAGCTGGATACTTCATAACTGTTACATTATAAAATTCACAGCTGACAGGATTATCAATCGCAGGACATATCATAACTCACTCTGTAGAGACAAGAACAAACACTAGGTGACCAGTTATGTGATGGTTTACAAGGCAGTGAGTCATATGACACTACTTCGCATATGCAAGCTCTCCCCTGCTCCAACATTGTTGCCTAAAATAAACGGAGGTTACTTTCCAAATAGACCTCTTATAAAGAACAGAAATGTACTGTGTAGGTAATATCAGGACATGTTTAATATAACCACAATTTAACAAAATCTCTCACACTAGAAGATCATGCCAATAAAGAACACAAACACAGCAGGAAAATAAAATTTCTACCTTCATAGGTGATGCAGTGTTGAAATTGAATGAGCCAGTTTAAGCAAAAATCATCTAAGACTGCTGTTCTGCTAAGGATGGCACTTTAGATACTCTGAACAGGCACTTAGAAGAATTATGAACACTCATAACCAAAGAAATGCCACACACAGGCACTTGTTTCCTCTTGCATAAAACAATTACAGAAATAGTTTTGAATTTACACAGATGCAATACTCATGCATGTAGTGTGAAGTGTGGCAAACTAGTTTTCAAGCAAAATCTCATTTAATTAGATTAACAGTTGTGAGTACTAACATCACATACTTACAAATATGTACAGTACACAAGACAAATACCTCATTGCACAGTATAAAAGCACATCTGTTACCCAGTACTAAGCTGCAGCATACAGTGAGGGTCCCTTACCTCGATGGCTCAACAGGCAACATTGAAACATAATTCTGACCTTTACATAACACAGTTAGCAAGACAGAAACTGAATTTAATGTGTATCTTGAATGGATGCTGAAACCAGCGTGGGGTCAAGCCTAAGTAGCCAAACACAACACAAGGAAGGGATCAGGCTGGCAGATAGGAAACACATGATCACGGCACAAGTAGGCATATGGAAGGAAAGGAAGGTGACTTGAGGAACATCATAGAGAATGGATGACTAAGACAGGACCAACCAAGCACAGAGAAATAAATACATGAGCTGATAGCAGCAGTGAGCAACTTGGAAGCTTTTAACTCATCTTGTATATTTTATTTGCTGGAATTGTAAGTGATGCCCTTCCTCTCTTGCTGTTCTACACAGTGTCAGCTGTCACTGGTGTCATGGGAGGGTCTGTCTCCCATGAGTACCACTTCCCAGCCGCTGTCGGGGAGGCAAAGTTGCTTATTTGTGAATCGTGTGGTTATGGAACCAGCTTGGAGAGCTGTGTCCCGTCTGAGTGTCCAGAGTGTGGCCACGGCTTTCTGAAGTGCTGCCCTGGGATTGAGGTAATCTTTGTGGACCAGTTTAACAACTGATTTGGTTGCACTTGCTTTAGAATTAATGTGTTAAGAGGCTGTGATGTGTTTAGGTTGGCCACACTTTCCTTCTTGGAACAAAGTACTCAGTGCCCCTGAAGGCAAGATTCACAACAGTGGAAGGAAAGTCAGACTTCCTACAGATGGGAAGCTATGGCCTAGGCATGACACGCATTCTGGCTGCTGGTGTTGAGGTTCTCTCCCTGCCAGATGAAATGAGATGGCCCATTGCTCTTGCTCCATTCACTGTGTGCATCGTTCCACCGAAGGTCAGGTAACTCTTTGGCAACATCACCCACAGGAAAGACTGCCATGGGACCCAGTGCATTGCAATTCAATTTTTTGTATGGGTTAATTTATGTCAATTTGTTCTGACAGGAAGAACCATTGCAGAAGTGGTTTTCCCATCTCATTCTTGGAATTCCTTTCTTCCCCCTCCACCCAGTTTGCTGTTTAGTTTTCATTGTTACTGGGGGTATTTTTGTGATGACACACTGTCCCTGAAACTTCCTTAGAAGGATGCAAGCCAGGATAGTGTTCCAGAACCTTATTTTCCTGCCATTGGTATAAATTGAACTTCTGAGATGGTGAGACTGAGGTGTATATTGTAGACAAATACGTGAAGGAAGCAGGCCATGTCATTGCAAGACTGTCCCCCTTTATCATTGTAGCTTGAACCCTATTGAGTTGGTGTGGACTCAGCTGAAGGGCTATGTGGCTAGACATAAGAAATCCTTCAAACATTATAAGGTATGCCAGTTGGTAGGAACAGGGCTAGGAGAGGTCACTGCTGATAGGTGATGCTATACTTAATGTTGTCCAGGATAACATAAATGGACCAACTTGCTACAAAAACCAGAGAAGATGAAATTTTGAGGAGTCTGTTTGTTTTAGACTCTTGACTTACAAGGAATAAATCCACTACCTCACAGCAACTAATCGTTCCTGCAATACTTCATTATTAACACTGATTATGTATATCATATCATATATGAGGTGTATCAGAAAGTTCCCGGACTGTTACTGTTGCAACTGCCTCAGTGAAGAAAAGATGAGAGGGGAAGCCAAGGTCACCAAACAATCTATGAGCTTGCTGACATCGTTTGGATCAGTTATGGAGTTTGCCAGGAGATCTTAACAGAAAATCTGAACATGTGCCACAATGTCGCGAAGTTTGTTCCCTGACTCTTGACAAATAATTAAAAGCAGCGGCTGGTAAACTTGTGTTTTGAGCTATGAGAGAAGGCTAATGAGGACCAAGCTTTTATCTCTAGGATCGTAATGGGTGACGAAAGTTGGATTTACGGTTATGATCCAGAAACAAAGCACCAGTCGTCGCAGTGGAAGAGCCCACAGTCACCAAGAGAAAATAAGGCGCAGCAGGTCTGGAGTTCAACACAGAGCGTGCGCATTGTTTTTTTCGACATGAAAGGGATTGTTCACCATGAATTTGTTCCTCTTAGCACTACAGTGAACTCTGACTTTTACTGCGATGTTCTGAGATGCTTGAGAGAAAATATGCGACAAAAAACTGGAACTTTGGCGCAACCACAACTGGCTCCTTCATCATGACAACACACCTGCCCACGTGTCCCTGAAAACCACAGAGTATGTGACTAACAACAACACAGTTATCGTTCCCTATCCTCCCTACTTCCCAGACTTAGCCCCCTGTGAATTTGCTTTGCGCCACAAATTGAAAATAAAACTGAAGGGACAATGTTTCAAAACAGTGTCTGACATCCAGAGGGATCATAAGCAGTACTTGACAGCATTAAGGAAAATGACTCCACGGTGCTTTTGAACATGGAAAAAATTATGGGATCGCTGTATTCATTCCCATGGCGACTATTTTGAAGGAGATGACAGACAAAATTGAGTAAGTTAAGCCAGCACTTCTTTTTTGACCTAGTCTGGGAACTTTCCAATAGTATTAAATTTGGGATTTTCTGCCACTATAGTAAGAGAAGGGTGTTTTATGATAAGTGATTGTTATATGATATGGTCATATTGTCTTAGTAGTTGGCTGTACAGTGCTGGGTGAAATTTAATGATGTAAGAGAGATATGCAAAAACCACACCAGTTAACAGCAGCTTCAAGCAGAAGAATGTTGTCTCTCATTAGTGACTAGACACCTGGCAGGGACTGATAATTGGATTTATCGAACCCTTATAACTTGTAATTACAAATAATTATAATATTTTTACCCATCTACACACTCTGCAGATCACTACTGCAAACTCCAAGTCTTCTGTGTTGTCAGTAGTCTTTGATTTTTAGTGGCACGTAACAGTGCAACTCCAGACTAATCGCTGAATTTTGACTCTGTTGACCCTATGATTAAAGCTTCAGCATGGACTGGATAGGAAACATCACTTCAGTTGTTCCACTGTTGTGTGTTTATTCATTGCCATATAAACATGTTTACCAACCTGTTGCCTAGCAGTGGCTGCCTCTTTTTGTTCCATTGTTCCTACTTTCAGCTGTCACATCACATTGCTCCCTTCTTAAGGCTGTTTCTCCCAAGTAGTCTTACAGGCGTGTCACCATTTCTTGTTCTCTGGGGGACTTGCCTGTGACATCTGTGATTGCCTTGATGAACAACAACTCATGTCATGCTGGGTCTGACACTTCTTCCATTTATTGGGAACAGAATTTTGAACGTAGCCGGTCTTCCTACAGCACTGGCATTTAAGCTGTCAGTAGTCTCTTCATATAGTTGGTGGGGGGGGGGGGCTGGCACCTTTACAGTATCATTTCACTTGTTTCCTGGAGCCTGACAGTAGACTTGACTGTTAGCTTTATGACCTCCTCCTCGAGGGTCTGCCTGAGGGCCTCACTGACCCTTTTCTCACCTCCCAGAAGTAACTTCTGTTTTATGCTTCATTCTCTTATGCCATCAATAAATGCTTTGCCTGCTCCCCAATGAACATGATCCTCATTTAGTGCAGGTAAGGTACAGTGGGTCAACTGTTTGATGGCTGTGGCAAACTCATGCAGGGGTCACCAATGATTCTGGTCCTTGTTTCCAGCTGTGTGTGGTACAATGCAGCCAGATGCTGGTCCCCAAATCGGTTGTCATGTGTTATAGCCTCTTCAGGGGTTCCATGTAGAATATCATAAGCCCAGCCCTGCAGGATGGCAGTCAGGTATGTGGGTTTCTCATGGGGCATCTACTGGTTGTGTTCCACCACTTTCTTGAACTGCCATTGGAATACAGCCCACGATGTTGATCCGTCATACATAGGTGACTGCCACGTCTATACCATATCCTGTTCTCCCACCAGATCTGCTCTCAGCTCGGGCTTCGACTTCTTCTGTGTTTCGAACTTGCTTCTTGTGATTTATAATACAGTCCTAGTTGTTTCTGTGTTGACCTGTGTTCCTTGGATCCTGATGTTGAGCTCTGCATGAAGGTTCCTTTTTGTGTCTGCTATCCCCTTACAGACATCCTTGTGTCCTCCATCTCCTTGCAGAAGCTTTGGGTCCGCATATTGAGGGACGCTTGTAACACCAGCTGCCTTTCTTCAGTCTTCGCATTCATTCCTTCGTAGAGGCCCTATATCTGTTGGTTGACAGACATGAGGATGTCTACTACCCAATTTTTGTTGGTCTCTTCCACCTAAGACCAAATGCTCCACCTTTTCTGGGCTGACCTTAATTTTGGGTCTCATTTAGTCCTGGCTGGTGTTTATTGTGGCCTCGATCTTTTCTTCCTAGGCCTCAAGCCACTCAAGCATCTGGGACATCTTTTATTCCAACCTTCCACCTGGTTTTGCTGGATTCTAGCATAGAATCCATTCACAGTCCAGTCAAACCATTCCCACTTCTGAAATCAGTTGTCATGTGTTAGTGACTAGACATGTGGTTTGGATTGATAACTGGATTTATTGAATGCTTTCAACTCATAACTATAAATGACTGTAACACTTTCACTAACCTATACACTCATCTCATCACTTCTGCAAACACTAAGTCTCCTATGTCTTCATCAGTCATTGCTTGGTAGCGGTGTATAACAATACAATTTAAGACTGCCAACTGCAGACTCCAACCTCCATCCCCTGAGGGTTGGTCCTGACTCTATACAAGGGTCATACTGAAAGTCATGAGCGACAATTTTTTGTAAAGTAACATGCTTTATTATTGACAAACCAAATACACCACCTCAATCTACAGACCTTTCTCTATTTTTACACATAATTGCCACTTCTTTGTACACATTTCTCCCAGCATTCTGGGAGTTTGAAAATTCACCTTCTGTAAAACTCCATTCTAGCCATCCGAAGACACTGACGCACTCCTTCATGAATTGCCTCCCTTGTCTCAAAACGTTGTCCACGCAGCTGATCCTTCACAAATCTGAAAAGATGGTAGTCGAAGGGTGCCAGATCAGGGCTATAGGAGGGGTGTGGAAGAACTTCCCACCCCATCTTTGCAATTGCTTCCAATGTGAGGCGAGCGGCGTGGGGGCAAGCATTGTCATGCAGGATGATGATGTTTCTTCCCGGACGTTTATCATGCAATGCACAACGGAGCTTGTGCAGCATCTGGACATAACGAGCAGCATTGATGGTTTGCCCAGGTTCCAGGAATTCGGCCAGAATAAACCCCTCTGCATCCCAGAAGACTGTGCCCATCACCTTCGCAGCTGATGGCACTGTCTTTGCCTTCTTTTTTGATGGAGAATGCAAATGGTACCATTCCATACTCTGCCGTTTCGTTTCAGGCTCGAAATGGTGAAACCAGCTTTCGTCGCCTGTCACAATACAGAGCAAAAAATCATCGCCTTCATGTCGATATCTCTGCAGCAGTTCTGAGGTGATGGCTTTTCGCTGACTTTGTGGTCTTCGGTCAATAACCGCAGGACCCAGCGAGCACAAACTTTCCTATAGCCCAAGCTTTCAATCATCCCCTGTACTGCACTGTGCCCTGTTCCAAGTTTTTGGGCTATTGTGTCCAACAGTCACACGCCTGTCATCTTGAATGATCTCATCCACTCTTTCCTTGTTGTGTTCAGTTGAGGCTGTTCAAGGACGACTGCTCCGAGGCTCATCTTTGATGCTGGTGGTCCCATCTTTAATATATTTCACCCGTCTTTGAACACTGCTAGCACCCGTGCACACACTTCCATAAGCACACTGAAGTCTCTGGTGAATTTCTGCAGCAGGGATTTCCTCTTTCACAAGAAATTCGATGACAGCACGTTTGTGAAACGACATATGGGTGTCGGCCATTTTGTTAGGAGTGATACTGGTCACGTGATGCAAGCTATTGACGTCACAAGACACTCAAGGTTAACACAACAGCTGGTTCCACCTACCACCATACTCTCTTTCTTCTGCTGTTCCCAGGTTGCATGCAAAAAAAGTTGCTCATGACTTTCGGTACGACCTATGTAGTATAGAAAACATATCTTCCATGGTTCCTCTGTTGTTGCATATTTGTTTGTTTCCACAGGAATGTATTTGTTATGCTGTTGCCTATCAATGACTGCCTCTTTTTTGTTTCACTATTCCACCTTTCAGCCATCACGTCACAATATTCATTCTTGTGTTTACATCAAGATTAACTTTGCAGTTAATTGTGTAGACAGTTAAACTTGTCTTGCTATCCTGTACTGTTGCCAATACTTGCTTCTACCCCCTATCCTGCAACAGATTTGTTGGTTCATTGCTGGATATAGTCCTAGCTAGATGTATTATCTTAAAATTCATGCTTGAACATCTGCAAGTAGATCGTTCTACAAATTTCAAGTTAGTGGGTATATTGAGTTTAATTAAATCACATGCTTAAAAATGAAAAAAATACAAGTTATTTTTCACACACTAACAGTACAATGCGGATGTCAGATAACCTGCCGGGACAAATGGAAACTGGAATTATAAGTGAGTCACTCTCATCACAGTGTGAGGCAACTTCATCCTCTGCTTCTTTGTCCACTGTTCTATTTCTTCAGTGTGTACAGTTGTTACTTTGTTAGAATGAAATTCATCTTGTAGTGCTAACTGGCCAAGCTGTTGGACGCTAGACCAGAAAAATGAATTTTCTAAGAAGTAGATTGGCTTGCTATAAGCAACAGAAGACTTGTCTAAAGACTATGCAGCAAAATTGATACTCTTACCATAGAGAAGAAAATTGCTATGAGAGTTACCAAAGAGTGGGCTAACAGTGAAGTGACACATTACGGTAAAAATTGATCCCAGTAACTGTCATTGCGGCAAAAAATGATATTTGAATACAAAGAATGCATGGGTCACAAGGCAACATTACAATTGCTTGCTGAAAAAGAAACTTCCTGACATTCATATGAAGACTGGCATATGAAAAGGAAATGACTTCGAAAGTTTGATATATTGCCATAATCACTTTCTAAAATTCAGCATAACTCTGCAGTAAAGCACCATTTATTATACAAGTTCCATAAAGCATTTCTTCAATTCTTGGGTGGGGTGGGAGTGAGTAGCATACACTTCAGAACTGATGTACCCTTACAGGAAGAAGTCTAAGGCTATCAAGTCCAGGGAATGTTGTGGCAAAGAAATGTTACCAAGTCATGAGGTTATGCAGTCTGAAAGACTCCCCTGAAGAGGGTCATGCTTTAACTTGCCATGTGGCCCTTTGCACCATCACTTTGAAACCATACATTTTTCATCTTTTGCCTTGTCCTTCACAGTTCTGTACCCAAAAGTGATTGTAGCATGTGCTATCCATTGTAACAGCAAGGTTCTTTTCCTCAAAGAAATAATGTCCAGTCATGCCAAACAGTTGCCTTTTCACTGTGGATAGATTTCTTGTGGATCTGCGTGGAATAGTTAACCCTCCAGTACCTGCTATTCTGTTCATTTGTGTAACTGGACAAGTGGGCCTAATCTGACATGATAAAAACATGCAAAATCCCTTCTTCATTATGCACAAGGTCCAAGAACTGTCTACTGAAATTCATGTGAGAAGTTTTATCCTGTTCTTTTTGTTTGTGGGATCCTGCAATTGGTACAGATGAAACCTCGAGTCGTCATGGAAAATTCTTTGAAGGCACCTGCTTGATGTCTGTACACCAACTGTGTGCTACCTCAGTTGGATGTTTGGCTCTGCTGCATTACTGCTCCCATTCATTGTTCTTTGTGATGCGAATGGAATGTCCAGGGCCAATAGATTTATTCACTATATTACCATGAATACTGAAATTGTCAACCTGATTTAAAATGACATTAAGCAAAGGAATTCTTCTATGCATTACAGTGTTAGAATTTCACTGGATGTGTGTGTGTGGCTGCACAATTGAATTAGTTTCAGAAGAAGATCTCACAGCAAAAACGTGATGATTCACTGTCCAGTTCTCCATGACTGTTACACTGCATATGAAGATGAATGTGTGCATCCATGCCCACATCTTCATGGCTCACTCCCTGCCTTATGTCAGTGCTTCTGATCTAGTTTTGTATGTTTCTACTTTGCATTTGGTTTTAGTAACTTAATTTATATTCAGTCCACATAATCAAAATCTGATCCCTTAAAGACAGTTCCCTTTTCTATTTTGATTTTCAAGGTGGTCACTTTTCAAGATTTTGCCTACCAGAACTTCTTTCAGAATTACACATCCAGCGCAGGGCATAAATCTTTAAGTAAAGCCCAGTTTCATGGCTGAAATGAAATTTCTGTGGCTTTCTATTCATTGCTTGTGACATTGTTGCTTTCAGGAAGGAAGTAAGGAAAGTGCAGTGGCTCACTTAGCGGAAGAACTCTACCACAGGATNATGCATCCATGCCGACATCTTCATGGCTCACTCTGTACATACTCACTTCCTGCCTTATGTCAGTGCTTCTGATCTAGTTTTGTATGTTTCTACTTTGCATTTGGTTTTAGTAACTTAATTTATATTCAGTCCACATAATCAAAATCTGATCCCTTAAAGACAGTTCCCTTTTCTATTTTGATTTTCAAGGTGGTCACTTTTCAAGATTTTGCCTACCAGAACTTCTTTCAGAATTACACATCCAGCGCAGGGCATAAATCTTTAAGTAAAGCCCAGTTTCATGGCTGAAATGAAATTTCTGTGGCTTTCTATTCATTGCTTGTGACATTGTTGCTTTCAGGAAGGAAGTAAGGAAAGTGCAGTGGCTCACTTAGCGGAAGAACTCTACCACAGGATGAACTCTATAGATAGCTTCAGAAATGATTTGATAATTGACAATAGGTGTAATATGACTATTGGCAAGCGCCTGTTTGAGGCGCAGAGAACTGGTTATCCATTCATTGTTGTGATAGGCAGGAAGGCATTGCAGCCTGTGCCAGAGTTTGAGGTACATCACATTTTGATGGATAAGAAGGCCAGCTTCAATGAGACGGCCTTGATTGAATACTTGAAAGAACAGCTCAATAAATAAAAAGTGTAAGATGTTTTGTTGTTCTATTCCAGTCCTATCCAATTTAGAACGTGTTGCTGACAGCAGTCTGATGGACTGATACCATGCAAATGCATATGTGAATCAGTTTCTGCAGTGGTTTATTTTAATGCTTTTTGTGTTGGGTGCAGTGGTTATTTTGTGTGCAGGTAAAGGCACAAACTCTCTATGTGATTGTGAAATACTTTTTACCTCGACTGGCCAGTTGTAATATTGTTGTAAGACAGCTAACATGGTCACTCTGCTTTCCTTATGCACCAAAGAAGAGCGGCATGTAGTTATACAATTTTTGTGGGCTGAAATTGTACCAGGGGCAGAAATCCAATGCAGACTTTAAACACAATATGGAAACACAGCTTTACCACAGTGAAGTGCACATTTATGGATAATCATGTTCAAAAGTGGTTGCGTGAGTGCCACTGATGAAAAATGATCAGGATGCCTGTCCACGTCCCCACTGCAGGGGAAAACATTGAACGAGTCTGTGCCATGATTCTGCGTAATTGACAGGTGGTTGTCACTGAAGTGGCACATCTGCAAATCAGTCATGGTTGTGCTCTTCAGTCATCCAAGGCTGACTTGGGTTTTATAAAGTCTGTGCAGGATGGGTTCCAGAACAACTCACAGAAGAGCAAAGGCCTAGCCATGTCATAAATTGTCAAGGCCTTTTGAATCACTATCGTAACGGAAGTTGACGATTTTTTTAGATACATTGTTACATTCCAGAAAATAAACACCAGAGTATGGAATGGAAACAACCAATGTGGAGTGTGAAAAAGAAGTTTGGAATTCAGCCATCTGCAGGGGAAATGATATTGCCCCTTTATTTGGAATGCATAAGGGACAAATTTGGAACATTACCAAGGGAGAGGCACAACAGGACACAGTGTCCATTATAATGAGATGCTTCAGGACCACTTAAAAACAGCTGTTTGAAACAAATGCCGAGGACTATTGTCAAAAGGTGTTGCAATGTCACAAAGTTAAGCCCATCCACACTTGAAAGCCTTCACCAACTGAACTGAGGTATTCAAGCATCCTTCATACAGTCTTTATCTGGCTCCTGACTATCACTTGTTTTATCCACTCTAAGACTGAAAGCAGCCATTTTGCCAGTGACTAAGAAATGAAGGTAGTGGTACATGCATGGCACATCACTGAAACAAAACATGTTCTGTGAGGGCATAGACGCTTATGGACCACTGGACTAAGTGTCTTCAAAAGGATGGGGACTATATAGAAAAATGATGCTATTCGATAGACTCATTTTTATTGTATTATTTAATGAAAAATGAATTATGGATATTTTCTGGCTCACCCTTGTATATGAGTATGTTTTGTCTATGTCTTGTTAATGGTGTTCAGTTCCTGAAGTGTAACATATGGAAATCTTTGCATGGGTTTTATGACAACTGGAAAACAGTGTATGGATGACAGTAATCCTGTTGGCCAATATGTTCACATATTGGAAACTACAAGAGCAAGGAACATCCAGAGTAGCAGCACTTTGTTGTTATCACCTACAGACATCCTATTGAAAAAGCCTTCTCCTTTTATGTCTCCTTGCATAAGAGCTCCTCTCACATCTCTGTCCTTGTTTCTTGTTCTGTTATGTCTCTTCTCACTTGGTTTTGCCCCTGGTATCCCTCCATTTTAATGCAGCAGAAACTTCTGCTTGTAATGTACTTAAATCTTAATCTACATCAAAGTTGCCATCCCATAATCTATGTGTTTCATATGTGCAACATAAATATCTTGACAGTATAGGTCCCATTATCGCCAAGTTAAAATCCTTTGTCAGTGCCAGTAATGGGAGTGAGTGTGGACCACCATCAGAACATAGTTTCTCCTTGTCATACTGGTGCAGACTTTGACTAAAAAATGTTCAGTACACAGGAATTCTTTTTTGGAGAGTGACTGTGGTAAAGGTGTCTCTTCTTACAGTGAGTATCCTTGATGAAGACACAGTTTCAGCTGATAATCTGAGTTAAAGCCGAGATAAAATATGGTCAAAATATCATCGTCCTAGGAGTTACGTGGTATCCATTCATTCTTTAGAGATCTCAGTGGACTGAGGATATAGGAAGCATACCATGTGAACAAAGAGTCTGCATGAGGTACCACCTTTTTACTCTTCTTCACTGAAGTGACCCAACTGTTAGTGACAGTAAATATTACAAGCACAGTCAATGTTTAGACACAATATTGACAGTGGACATTCATGACCCTCTGATGTGATTGTACGAGAAAGATGCACATCTTTTGGGGTACAGTAATGTTACACCAGCAGCACATTAAAGGATTATGTTTTAGAGGAACATGATAAAACACAGCCAATTTTTATGAATTCCATACAAAGTAAACAAGGGCACCAAATGTGGATGGCATGCCATATCTTTCCACCCATAACCTAATATCAACTATTGGAACACATTTTCTTAAAATACAACATGGGAGACTTTACTAAAAGATGAGCAATTCAATTTGCAGCCATACTGAATTGTAATGAAGAACGGTTTATGTAACACCATAAATGGACTTTTTCCATATAGCCCATAGTCCAGTTCACAGGTTTTGTTCAAATTGTAAATGTGAGAGGTTCACCAAAAGTTGTTGGGTAATTCCAGCTTTCAGGCAGACTGATCCACAATAAAGCCCTTTTTTATATATGGCCATAAATTGACATTTCTCTATGTGTAATAAACGTTTTCAGCTTTTCTTAGAATATAGTATGGGAGACTTACACCAAAAGTTTCCAGATAATTCCAATTTTTGGCCATATTCATCCATAATAAGGCCTAGTTTGCATGTGGAACTTATTTTCAAACATATTTTAAGGAATATACATGTAAAATATTTTGCTATTAAGATACACAAACTGTGACAGAACTAGACATACTTATGATATGAGCTTATACTTGGGAAAGGACAGGGAAAATGGTAGAACAGGTAATGATTTCACTCATGCTATAGCAAAAGGAGTGTGTGTTGATTAGCTACATTGTCATCCTCTAATAGAAAAATGGACCCTAAAAATTCTTTGGTTCAAAATTGTTGGAAGCTGGTACAAGGGAGCCTCATCTTCAGTCCACCCAAAGAGGGTGACCTATTGCACAAGCCATGCCAGTGTCCTAACTTGAAGTTTGACACATAAATAAATGTTCTGCCAAAGACTGTGCTACCAATATATATGATCTTTAAATGTAAAATCTGCCTGTGTATTTGTGTTAACACAGACATAAAGTCTGAAATCAGATCAGACACAAGAATATATCCACAGATGTAAAGGCTGTGCTTTTGGTTGCACATAATATTGTGACACGCAGGCTGAGAGAGAAGAGACGGCCGTTACTAGGCAACGGCTCGGTAAACACGATCTCGTGGCAGCAGATACACATGTAAGAGTGGAAGAACTGTTGGAAATAGTGTTCTCTATGCAGTTTGTGCCAAAGGTATATAACAAGGACCAAGGTGTTGCTAACACCAACATAGAAAGACCATCTCCTCTTCACCAAAGAGGAGGCTCCATTTTGAAACATGCACATGTCTAGGAGAAAATAAAGATCTTGGTCATGGATCTCAAGGAGACAAGTTAGGAATGACTGTGCTGGCAAAGGCCAGCAGCAATTTAACTGACTGACCAAACAGTCCTTATGATGCCCATGTACAGGCAGGTCTGAATACCTCCACCATAGCCATGCAAGCCGTAGAAGGCGATGAAAAGGGAATCCAGTGCCTGGGGGNCAGCATAAAATTCTTTGGGCAGCTGTCCGAACAAGGCGTGTTTACATGGCATGGCCTACCTCATAATGCATGACAGGTTAGGTTTCCACAAAGCCTGTGCGCGATGGGTGCCGCGCATGCTAACCTCACAACACAAAATGCAAAGAATGGGTCTGGCATTACAGCATCTCAATCGCTACCACGATGAAGGACACGATATGCTAGCCCGAATTGTCACAGATGATGAGTTTTGGGTTCACCATTACCATCCACTCGACGGATTTTTCATTGACAATCTGCCTGTGTATTTGTGTTAACACAAACATAAAGTCTGAAATCAGATCAGACACAAGAATATATCCACAGATGTAAAGGCTGTGCTTTTGGTTGCACATAATATTGTGACACGCAGGCTGAGAGAGAAGAGACGGCCGTTACTAGGCAACGGCTCGGTAAACACTATCTCATGGCAGCAGATACACATATAAGAGTGGAAGAACTGTTGGAAGCAGTGTTCTCTATGCAGTTTGTGCCAAAGGTATATAACAAGGACCAAGGCGTTGCTAACACCAACATAGAAAGACCATCTCCTCTTCACCAAAGATGAGGCTCCATTTTGAAACATGCACATGTCTAGGAGAAAATAAAGATCTTGGTCATGGATCTCAAGGAGACAAGTTAGGAATGACTGTGCTGCCAGCAGCAATTTAACTGACTGACCAAACAGTCCTTATGATGCCCATGTACAGGCAGGTCTGAATACCTCCACCATAGCCATGCAAGCCGTAGAAGGCGATGAAAAGGGAATCCAGTGCCTGGGGGTATAATTTGGCCACCCTGTTAATGGGGGATATAAATACGGGGACCTGTCACGCCAGGTTGGGAGAGTCTCGAATCTGAGACAGTAAAATATAGACCCGAGAATGACTTAACTGGCAAGGGACAGCAGCAATTGTAAATGATAGACCCATCCTCTCATCAGAGAGGGCACCCCACATCAACAGACCTACAACTGTCTGACAGTAACAGAAGTGTGGTCTTGGGTCTGAGATGGGGTTTGACACTTAAGACAGAATGGCCAACAGTCAGTCAGTTGTAACATGACTTTGACTTGAGCCCAGTTGGAATTCATGTGGATGCAGGTTCGAATACCTCCGCTGTAGCTCAGCGAGTTGTAAGAGGACAAAAAGGGGATCCAGTGCGTAGGGTTACAACTGGGCCACCTTGTTTCTGGGGATATATGAGTAATTACAGGTACTTAGTCCTCCAGGTTGGGGGAGTCTTGATTCTGAGAATAATTTGGTCATGATTGCCGCAGAAGTCTGACTCAAGAATGAGTGCACTGGCAAGGGCCAGCAGAAGTTGTAAACTACAGGCCTGTTTTCTTGTCAGGGAGGGTGCACCACTCAAAAAAACCTGCAAATGTCTGACAGTAACAAAAATCTGGTCTTGGCCTGAGATGGGGTTTGACACTAAGACTGGCTGGCAGGGTGACTGACCATCGGTCGTAACATGACTTTTGACTTTGACTAACAATGATAATACGAGTAACATTGAGAGGCAAGCATACAAAGCCAGAAAACAATTACAAGGCTTAGAAATAGATTTGTCCCTTTTCCCAGAGACACGTTTGAAACCTCATATGAGATTCTACATTCTAAACTGTTATTTATTGGTCTGACCATCAAGGTGGGCACAAAGGCAGAACTTCTGTAGCATTTAAGAAAGGCATCACCCACAGATGAGCAGACTTACCTCTTCCCTTTTCATTAGAAGCAACAGGGGTCTGCAAACTGATTGAAAACACTGAAATATTCCTTACAGCTGTTCGCAAATCTCTACAAAGACTGTGGAGTGACACACACACATCACAGAGCTATTTGGCTTAAGAAATAAGTCCATTCTGGCAGGTTACCTGAATGCAAAGCACCCGGTTTGGAATAGTAAAGTTTCAAACCCCTCAGGCTTGAAGCACCTGGAATTATTTGTTAGTGCTAAGATTGAAAGCTCAACTCCACAGTGCTCTTCACATTGCACACGTGATGGTAGACGTGATGTTCTTGACACTGTTGTGCATCAGAACGTCTGATCGTAGAGGCCATTGTCACTGACAGCCTGAACTCAGATAACCTACTAATAATGTTAGCATTCTGGATCCTGTTAGAAAGAGGGAAGTTGTAGATCTAGTTGAAAAACTGGCAGACTGGAAGCTGTTTCAAACCCTTGCCTCTGAAGTCATCTTTTCAAATATCCAGATTTACTCCTCTAATGATGCTGATAGTGCAGCACATGACTTTACAGAATCTTTAGCTTTGGCATACTGACTGTCGACTAGAAAAACTGCAATTTTAGACCAGGTATATGAAATAGTTTACCTAGATCCCTTATTGAAACATAAATGAAAGCTTAGGAAATTATGGCAAGAATCAAGGGAACTAGGAACTAGCATGCAAAACAGCAGTAAACTGGGTCACTCAGAATATTAGGAATATGGTCAGGAAAGTTCTCTTAAAATATGGGAAACAAAGTTGACAAAGTGTGAAGTCACACCTCCAGCAATATGGCCTATTGCAAAATTCCCACACAAAGAGGTGTGGACCAAAGGCACCGTCCGCAATTCATATCCCTTAGACCAAATATTTTATTTGATCAATAAAGCCAACATAATTGCAGACTTGCACATGACTTGTGTGACTGTGACTACGGATGACGGAGGATAAAGTCGAAGCCCTGCTGGCTACCATCGTTGAAGTCACCTGTTAATTTCCAGCCCTGTGGCAGCTAAAAGTGGCAATCCTTGAAATTAGGAAAGGCCTGCGGTTTTGATGGCATTCAAAATGAGTATCTCTGCCATCTTCCAAGAAGACCTCTTGTGCATTTAACATATTTAATTATTGCCTTCACTTCCCTGCACCTTGGAAGGAAGGAAAAATCATAACTATGCTGAAACCGAGCAAAGACCCAAAATTTCCCCCAGACTTACATCCGATCAACCTCTTATCCACTGAGGGCCAAAGTATTTGAGAATATTATTTTAAGAACAATCGAAAAACACACTGAGGAAAGAAACTTGCGAAATGTAAGTCAGTTTGGCTTTTGAGCAGATCACACTATGACATTTCAATGTATGAGGCTGGTGGATCACGTTACCCTAACTTTCAACAATAATATGTCGACAGCTGCTATGTTCTTGGATATCAAGTAAGCCTTCAACACAACATGACACCCTGGCATACTATATAAATTTTCAGAATTAGAATTTTTTACAGTGTCATTAAGGTGATTGCTTCTTTTCTCACTGATAGAAAATTTAAAGTCTTGGTAGAAGGCAAAACTTCTACACCGAGAGAAATAGCGCCAGGGGTGCCTCTAGGTTCCATCCTTGCTCCAATATTGTACAGTCCATATATAAACAATGCCACCTTAACATTGGAACTCATCTTGCTCTGTTAGAGGATGATCCCTGTATTTACGTGACAAATAAGCATGAACGTCATGTTCTCTGCAAATTGCGAAGTGGCCTTATGGCAGTGATATGGTGTGAGCACTGGAACATAATGACTAACAAAAGGAAAACTCAGGTGGGCTATTTCTCCAGAAGACTTAAAAGAGTCCCTGATGATGTACTACAACCAAATGGAAGAGGCATTCTGTTTGTAAATAATGTAACGTATCTTGGTGTTACCTTTGACAGGAAGATTAAGTGGACACATCATACTGAAAGGACTGTAGCCAGGGCCTTGCACACTTACACAAGAACCTATTCCCTATTCACAAGAGAATGCTTAAGTACATATATTAAATTTACTCTTTACAAAGCTCAGATTAGGTCAGCAGTGACATAAGCCTATCCCCCCTGGGAGTATGCAGCTGATGCTCACCTCTTGAAATCGCAGCACCAGCAGAACAC